GGGACCCCTGCCCCCAGCCCTCTGACTGCCCCGCCCCCTATCCACACCCCCACCCCCTGACCACCACCCTGAACTCCCCAGCCCTCTTACCACGCTGCCTGGAGCACCGGTGGCTGGACTGCGCTACAGCTGCGCTGCCTGGCCATCCAGAGCATTGTGCCGGCGGTGCAGTGAGCAGAGACTGCGAGGGAGGTGGAACATGAACAGAAGGGGAGGGGCTAGGGGTAGCCTCCCGGGCCAGGAGCTCAGGGGCCGGGCAGGAGGGTCCTGTGGGCTGAATGTGGCCGCGGGCTGTAGTTTGCCCACCTCTGCACTATGGTAATAAAAATAAAAACAAGAGGAGTCCTTGTGGCACCTTAGAGACTAATACATTTATTTGGGCATAAGCTTTCGAAAGCTTATGCCCAAATAAATTTGATAGTCTCTAAGGTGCCACAAGGACTCCTTGTTTTTGCTGATACAGACTAACACGGCTACCACTCTGAAATAAAAATAAAGTCATCAACTTCTGAATGATTGAAAGATTAGACCTATTGTAAATGGTTAGCTGCTTAATAGGTAGGCACTATTATTTGTATTGTGGTAGCAGACCCCAGACAGATCAAGATCCTATTGGTCTAGATGCTGTACACTAATGTACCAGGAGACGGTCTCTGCCCAGAATCCATTGAAATCTGAATAGATAAGGGCTGGCAGAATGGGAGGAAGGGAGTATTATCACCCCCATTTCACATATGGGGAACAGAGGCACAGAGAGATGCAGTGACTTGCCCAAGTTCACACAGGAAGTCTGTGGCAGAGCCAGAAATTAAATCTGATCTCTGTGCAGTGACTTACCCTCACGACCATGCTTCCTCTCCACTGTTAATTTACAATAAGCTATTCATGATTCCAGGTATGTGTATGTCCTTGGATAGTGTTGCTGATGTCAACTCGGATAAACTGAGATTCCCCGGATAAAGTTTTAAATAATATATTGTTTGGCGACTCCCACCCCCACATTATCAACCAGGTGAGGCACCTCAAAGTTCTGACCATTCTTCCTCTGCCGTCGCCTAACACCCTGAGGATCCCTCTGTTCCTAACTGATTCCTGACTAGTTTCTCCTCCTCTTTCCACTACTTCCCTCACTGGAGCTTAGAGAAGTTCTGGGTCTGCTACTAACTGATGATAGGATTTCATTAATTTGTAACAAAAGTTTTGGGAAAGCTTGTTTAAATAAAGATGGCGGCCATGCCAAAACCGGGAAATCAACAATCAAGCAACTTGTTTCTAAGCTGAACGGCACACAAAACCCAGCTCTCCATTCCCCCGGGCATATTCCTGCACTGTTGCAAGTAGAATCATGTCCTGAAAAGAGGAGAAAAATTACAGGAAAATTCTCTAGGATGGGGGATGGTCAACACTGCTCTCTGTCTGTCCACCGTGGAGCACTACTTCAGACTCAGATGAGCCATACGTTCTCATCAGCAAAGGACTTTCCCTGGGGTTCTCTATGCTTTTTGACTGGCTGAGTCACCAAGCTCACTTTAAGATTTGCAGACAGCCCCTTCTTCTAACTGCTTGCTAAGGTAATCCTTGCTACCCACCTAGAGATAACTGTGCCTCAGATTTTCCAAGAGAAAGTCATTGTGCCTAATAGGGAATGAATGGGGTGATTGTAGGCAGCTGCCCTGGGAGCTACAAGTGTTTGTCATAGAGTTCAAGGCCAGAAGAGACCACCAGATCATCTAGTCTGACCTCCTGCATATCACAGGCAACTAAACACCACTCATCCACCTCCACACCAAGGCCAACACCCAGAATTAGACCAAAATATTATAGCCCTAGGAAGACTAAACTATAGTGTGCCATAGGTAGAGAACAGGAGGGACTGAGGTGCAGCAGTGGCCAAGGCCCCGGTAATGGCATGGAATTGATTAAGTGAGAAATACCCAGATGATCCTGGCAAGTGTGCCCCATGCTGCAGAAGAAGCCAATGCACATCCCCTCAAAGTCACTGCCAATCTGACACAGGGGGAAATTCCTTCCCAACCCCATGTATGGCCATTAGTTTAACATTGTGTGCATATTCTTAAGTAATCAGTGCCTATTTTTTAGGCCCTGTTACTAGGCACTATTCACCTACCCAGCCTCTCTTCCTCCCAAACCAGGATGGTGGGTTGGATGTCCACATGACCAGCTGTTGCCTCCATCATGGCTTTCAGATTCCTCCCATTGTGGTGGCAAGTTGGAGTCAGCACTCAGTAGTACTAAGTGCACGTACTAGCAGTGAGCAAGAAGCAACCAAGATAAGAAGGGCAGCACCAGGTTTTGTGGACAGTTCTTGTGAGACTCTCCCTTTTGGGGGGCAGGTGGGTGTGCCAGGTGTGCACCAGGGAGAGAGGAAGCAACAGCTGGGTGAATGAAGTCCCAGAGAGGTGGGGAGGTTCCAGGAAGCAACCCCTCAAACAACTTATTTATAGAAGAGACAAACGGTCACTACAGTATATGGGGAGCCTTTTAGCACTTGGTTTGGCTGGTATCTACCTCTTTGGGAACAGGGCAGGAGAAAGGGGGATGGATTTTCCCAATCCTGCTGGCACATCCCTAGACTGTTTTTTTAAATGAAAAGCACCATTTTGTGTTGGCTGTTCAGCATATACATATGTTGCTGCTGCTTCTTTTCTCTTGGGCAGGCTGTAGGATGCCATAGCCCTGGCCTCTCCTGCAAAACCTAGTATTTATTTATCTATTTACCTTAGCAAAGGGACTAATAAGCTGTAGGGAAGTCAAGCAGCCCAGGCTCTCTCATTTCTACCACATCTCTCTGAGAGAGGAGATTGTGAAGGTCAGAATGTCACAGCTGCAGCTTCACGCTAATCATCCATTCACCTGACAATCCAGCACTTGCAGTGAAATGCTATTTTACATTCCATGTTTGTAAGTGTCAGTATAAGAAAATACTGTTTGCAATTTTCTCTAGAATGGCTGTCACTTAAAAACCCAAGTGGCTGCCAGAGTGCCTTTGCCCATGGTTATCTTCCCCGTTTTCCCTTTGTGTGGTAGTACAGGGCTAAGTCTGAAAAGATGATGATTCAGAAACAAACCCATGAAGCATTTTCAGACTTGCTGTCCTCTTTCCCACACCAACTGCCATCAACAGACTAATGTAACTAGAGCTCTATGGATTTTTCCACACATTTTCATTTGGGTGCCGAAATATCCCAGATTTTGTGTCTGACACTGGGCTGCCCTCCCAAGGGAAATGGGAACAAAATGTTTAAAAAGCTCTTTTCTCTGGTGTATTCGAGTGGGAGTTTTCATAAAAGGAAAAATGCAACCCAGGAGAGGGGATGGTTCAGGACAAAGGGGTGGCTGGGCATAGAAACCACGGGGCCTGAATTTGGGAAGCAACAATGAGGCCCCCTTCACTCTGATATTTTAATTCACAATAAAACAGACTGACCCACTCACTCAAGGGAGAACATGTGACATTTAGCTCTTTGGGACCATTTGTATTGCTAGATAATAGGATGCTGGGAAGAGCAATGTTGACCAGGAAGAGGAGATAAAGCCAGGAAAATAGCAAATATTATTGATGAAACAGGCTGCAATCAAACTTTTAATCTCTTCTTCTCACTCAACTTATCCAGCCGTTGGCACTCCGGGCATGTGCTATTAAAGACTGGTTTTAAGAACATAATATGACCAGTAAAGTGAACGCACAATGAGCAATGGTACGGGAGCCCCACATTCAAAAACCACATGTAGCCTCAAGGCTCCTGCACCACATGACTGCACTGAGGAAAAGATGCTCAGAATCTGTAGGGGCAACGTGGGCAAACTACCTTTCCTTCCAGCACTCCCTAGCAACAACGCCTACTGGGTTGGTGCTGTGGCACTGCAGTTGCTAAATTCCTCAGGGGAAAGAGAAAATTATTCTTAAGTGGGAAATGGCTTCCCAGAGGGAAATGATCAGCCAGACAAACAAATATGCCATGTCCTTCACTGGGAGAAGCTGAGGTCTCCACACAGCTTTAGTGTGGTGGGAAAAAATAGAACCCGTGCCAAGATACTGCCCAGCCTATCCCCGTACAGTCAGCAGGTTTTTAACACATCTTTGATAATTCCCACTTTGAGAGCCTCCAAGCTGCAAACCTATCCATAAAGATACAGAAGAACTTACAAGAGAAGGTTCATTCACTTCATGTTACTCTCTCGAAACAAATGAGTTACAAACCCAGGCTTGCTGCAGCAGAGGAATTCTGTCAGGTAAGAGCACAAACCTGTGGGGATCATCAGGGTCACAGTTTGGTAGGAAGTTTGTGACAGCTTCTGCCACTTCTTCATTTAATAATACATCCCAGAGTCCATCGGTAGCTAAGATCAGCACATCCTCTGGTCCATGCTCATACTGCAGAAGATTGTAGACTCTCACCTACAATCACAAAACAAGAGATTCAGTCACATGAAGGAGGAAATATTCCAATTCTTGTGAAAATCTGCTGATGCTGGTCTGGAGTTAGCAACTTAGACAGGGCGCTCAAATAACTCCCAGATGTAGCACTTTTGCTCTACCCTCCCCGCCCCCAGTAGGGCAACTTCTTCATCGAGCTGGCAATCTCTCTTAGGCCCGGATTCAAAATAGCATATCCTACTGCCTACTGCTGGATGGCGCTTAATCAGGTGCTTAAGTGTTGACCTGAATAGGAACAGACTTGAGTGTTCTTGAATCAGGGTTCTAATGCATTTATGTAATGCTGACAGCGGTGATCAAATCAATCAAACCTATTCCTCTCCCTTCTCCTCTTGTGGCCATGCTCTGCATTTTGGCTATTCTCCATCATTAGGATAGCTGGTCAAATAAGAATTTAATAATTTATTTGATGAATTTTTAATAACTGTTTTCACTATTTGCCCAGAACCCATTAACTATGCCCAATAAATTGCACGTGTTCTGAAGTGCTTAGTGCATTGTATAAGGATTTGCTACCTAAAGTCTTTTCTATAGCCCACATCCAGCAAAGAACTTAAGAATATGCTTAACTTTAAGCATGTGAGTGGTTCCATTGAAGTGAATGGATCATATTCTTAAGTGATTTGACGGACTGGGGCCAATTTAAGGAACCATATAAAATATCAGTGGAAAAGGTTCTTCCATACTAGGCTATTTCCCTAAAATGCCCATAGGTTTTGTTACTTAAGGCTGCAGTCACATAGCCAAGAACTGAACTGACTTCTCCATCAGGCCTCTGATGCTGAAGAATCTGACAGTCTATGTTTAAAATGGCCTCCCGTAACCCCCTGCTTGACTGAGCTGTCTAAACCATGAAATCAGGTCAGCACACGAACAAAGGTCAATGCAAGTTTTTCAAATGAGTCTTTTGTTGGACGTAAGTCTTCTTCCAGCCTGCCCTGCATTCCAACTGTCAAACCGCCTGCTCCTTTAATTCCCCAAACTAAAACTTGGAATCCTCGGGAACCACTCACAGAGCACTTTAATTACGCCAGCAATGACTGTAATTTGAAAGACGTGTGACAACCTTGGCAAGGTAGACAAGAAGAAATGATGATCTGTAATAGAATTTGGGAATAGTGCACCTGGTCACACATGCTGCTTTATCCTTGTGCTTCAATAGCAGCATCGGTGTTCCACAAATTTGTTCGGACATGTACTTGGCACAGCTAGAAGACGGGGAGTTATTTCATTCTCTCTTGGCGCACTCTCTCATTAGGAGCCACGGAGCAGGAAATGCACATAAAATGCTTGGACCTTTCAACTTAATTGTGATTTTTATGGGATTGCAACCAGGATAGGAGAAACAATAATGTAGATCTCAGTGCTAATCCTCACCCTTTTCCTTTTGCTCTAAAGGGAAAGAGGGTCATTTGTAAAATGTATCAATTGCTTTATTATTTAAGGTCTATCTGAGTGAGGACTCTTGAGATGAGCCAAAAAAAAAAAAGTAGTCAAGCTAAAACACTCCCATCTGTCTTTACCTCCTGATTCAAATCTATCAGGAATAGAACTCCAGCGCAGCAAATTTAGTCTCTGGAGACTGAGTGTTACAGGTACACTTCTGTACCAATCCACAGAGGATACGAGTGTTTGCAGCCCCCACACTATAGAACCTTGGCTCTTTAGTGCAAAATGTAGCAGCTCATGCTTTTGTTTGTTGAGGTCAGCAGCTCAACTCCCAGTGTATTGGCCGAGATGATGGTTATCACACAAAAACACGTTTGGAAGTCAGATCTCTTGGATGTCAGCTACTTTGATACAGATAGTAAGATACTTAAATGTTAATTATCCACTTAGCAGTGAATCACTCAGAACAAAACAACCTGTAAATCAGCAGACTTCTAAAATCCATCTCTGCCCCATCTCCCTCACCTAGATAAAGAAAGTTCAAATTAAAGTAACAGATCTCCTCCTGCTAGCACTGGGGGGAAATGTTATTGGCCAGATCTTGCTCGTACTGAAGTCAATAGCAGATCTCCCATTGATGTGTATGGAGCAAGATTGGAGCCTATGGCTGCAGCTTCAAGGCAACAGAATCCTGTCAAAACTATAGCTGATGCAGCAGATGAAGGACCCAAGATATATATTTCTGCAAACTCTAGTGTACATTACTGAGAAGAGAGACGATTTTGAAATTCAGGTTTTGCGGAAAACTCAGGCAAAGATGATATGACTAATTTGGGAACTAGTGGCAATTTCTTATGAGGAAAGACGAAGCTTGACATGTTCAATCCTGAAAAGAGATGGCAAGGAGATGGATACTGACAGACACCTAATGATGCACAGTAGTTAAGGGGGATGGGCAATGGCGTGAACAAAGAACTGGCTATTTGACTAGTATGCAGTTCAAGGAAAATAACAATGTGAAGTTATGGAAGGAGATTGGGTTAGTTGTCAGATGTGGCTCTCACCCAAAGAATGATTATCACATCTATTTACTGTAATAAAGTAGTCACCTTTATAAACTTTCCAAACTTTTGTAGATAGATAGGATATTACAGTATTCATATTATTTCCTATACCAAGCAGAGGACATGTCCCATGTCCCGGTGATGTCACCTGGTCGCAAAGTAAAGTATTTAAGGGTGGCCACAATATTTCTTTTTTCCTTCAGTTTTCTAAAATATATCTACGGGTAGCTAGCGAACACTAATAGAAATGAGTTAATTTAGAGCTGTTCATAGAATCACAGTATTTCAGAGGCAGGCTGTCTTGCCCAGATGCATTCCCACTTAGCGGAGCTGTTCCAGTTCTCATTTTTAATATTATCGTCTTGTATTAGTTATTTGCGATTTTACAGTGGAGTAGCACGACACTAGCATTCTCATGTGGCATACATACGGCATTACAGGCATTTTACGTGGCCGAGAGCTACTTATCAACTCCAGCTCACAAGCCATTTTCTCCAAACCCCTGAGCTACCCCCTGCTTGCTGCCCTTCCTCAATAATAATTCAGGAAATTCAGCAGATATGAGATTTAAATGATGTTACGGCTGTGACACAAATCACTCAAACTTGCATGCGCTTCAAATGGATACAGAACTCTCCAGCTCACACAGACGTGGGTGGCTGGCCAGCCAGACCACCAGGCAACCTGGGCAAAAGCCATTTTCCCAATCCAGACGGACTCTCTGTATGGCTTCCACTCCCTCTTACTTCCTAAACTCCCCCTGCTCCCTCTATGCATTTAGGAAACCCTCTGTCCACCTCCAATGGTCATCAGGAAGGATGGACAATTTGGGATTTACCTAGTGGTCTGTCTTAATTAGCCCATACCACAACTTCATATCTAAGAGTAGGAATGTTTAAAGCTAGCAACAAAGAAGTAGCGTCACTTCTGCACAGCCAGCCAGCAAGGAGAGGGTGGGTCAAGATGAATTACACCATGACGGGGGTCTTCAGACCTCTGCTAAATTTTAGCAGTGGATGCTCTGTACTACAGCTCACAGTTATGCACTCTCTCTATCTGGATATGGATTGTGCATTCTGTTATTCAGCAAAGCTCTTAATGTGTGCAGAGGAAATACTCCAGCACCAAATCCTGGATCGGTGATACAAAGGATGCGTCAGGTTTGTGTTTACATCACAACAGGATCTACCATACATACATAATCCCAACTATACATATACAATGATGGGATCTAAATTAGCTGTTACCATTCAAGAAAGATCTTGGCGTCATCATGGATAGTACTCAGAAAACATCCACTCAGTGGGCAGCAGCAGTCAAAAAAGCTAACAGAACGCTGGTAATCATTAAGAAAGGGATAGATAATAAGACAGAAAATATCATAGTGCTTCTTTATAAATCCATGGTACGCCCACATCCTGAATACAGTGTGCAGATGTGGTCTCAAAAAAGCTATACTGGAAATGGAAAAGGTTCAGAAAAGGGCAACAAAAATTATGAGGGGCAGGGAACAGCTTCCATTTGAGGAGAGATTAATAAGACTGGGACCTGGTCTACACTATGATTTTAGGTCGAATTTAGCAGCGTTACCTCGATTTAAGCCTGGACCCGTCCACACAACGAAGCCCCCCCACCCTTTTTTTTTTAAACTTAAAGGGCTCTTTAAATCGATTTCTTTACTCCTCCTCCGACGAGGGGATTAGCACTGAAATCGGTTTTGCTGGGTCGAATTTGGGGTAGTGGGGATGCAATTCAACTGTATTGGCCTCTGGGAGCTATCCCAGAGTGCTCCATTGTGACCGCTCTGGACAGCGCTCTCAACTCAGATGCACTGGCCAGGTAGACAGGAAAAGGCCCGCAAACTTTTGAATCTCATTTCCTGTTTGGCCAGCGTGGCAAGGTGCCGGTGAGTGCAAATCTCATCAGCAGAGGTGACCATGATGGAGTCCCAGGATCGCAAAAGAGGTCCAGCATGGACCGAATGGGAGGTATGGGATCTGCTCGCCATATGGGGAGACTAATCCATGCTAGCTGAACTCCGTTGCAGTAAACGAAATGCCAAAACATTAGAAAAAGTCTCAAAGGGCATAAAGGATAGAGGCCATAACAGGGACGCACAGCAGCACCGCATGAAAATTAAGGAGCTAAGGCAAGCCTACCACAAAACCAGAGAGGCAAACTCTGGGTCAGAGCCGCATGCGGCTTCTACACTGAGCTGCATGCCATGCTAGGAGGTGCAGCCACCACTACCCCAACCCTGTGCTTTGACTCCGTCAATGGAGAATCACGCAACATGGAAGCGGGTTTTGGGGACGAGGAAGATGATGATGAAGAGATTGAAGATAGCTCACAGCAAGGAAGCAGAGAAACCAGTTTCCCCAACAGCCAGGATACGTTTTTCACCCTGGACCTGGAGCCAGTAACCCCCAAACCCAACCAAGGCGTGCTCCCGGCCCCTGAGGGAGGACAAGGGACCTCTGGTGAGTGTACCTTTGTAAATATTAGATG